AAATTATAAATGGATCTTTATCACATTTCTCTTTTAGTATAATTACAAGTAATAATGTGATACATAAAAGTATTAAAATGAATCCTACTACATTGATTTCAATATAAATGTCATATTTACTTGATCCCGTTATTATGTCTAACAATTTGATAATAACGAGAACTGTCTTTATTTCCTTATCTCAAAATTATTATCAAGTATTATTAAACAATGAAAATATTGATGATAAGAAAGCTTTTTGAGAATGAAAAGATGATATATTAGTCTTTAATATTTCCTGAAGAAAAAGTTTTGAAATTGATATCAAATGAAAGATAACATCAACCAATCATCTACCTCTTTCTTATTATCTTTGTTTCGTATAAATATAAGTATTACGAAGAAGTATGTATTTATCTAGAATTATTAATGAATAATTCATATTTTAATTATTATTATATTAATATATGTGTATAATATAAATATTATATTTAATGATATGTAACTAACCTAAAAACATTTGACCTGCTAATTTTGAAAAAAATTTCTCATACGAAATTCTATTAGATTAAACTTAGTTATCATTTAATAAAAAATTCTTATTCTTATCACGAATAAAAATAATTGATTAATCTCTGATATATTGTTAAGAATATTTTAAAATTATTCAATGATATCCAACTAACCTAAAAACATTTTACCCTGGCAATTTTGGAAAAAAAAAACTTTCTCACACGAAATTCTATTACATTAAACTAAACTTGGTTATCATTTAATAAAGATTCTCATTCTTATCACGAAGGAAAATAATTTGTTAGTCTCTGATATATTCGAAGAATGTCTATCGTCTTTAAATCGATATGAAACGATAGGAGGACTCTGTGGTGATTTTTTATTCAAAGCTCCGCACGTTCCATGAACGGTCGGTCGTTCGGAGGAGTCTAAGGAGGGTGCAAAAGAATGACGAGGCGAGGGTGAAAAAAGAAAAAAAAATAAGAGAGAGAGAGAGAGAAAAAGGGGGTCCATCCTATGCTAACGGCTAAATCGAAAAGAGAAAAAGCGTCGAAAGAAAGACCATACTGAGGGATCCCTTATGAAGAATGGCGTTTTTATTAAATAGGCGTGTCGGATGGCAGATAGTTTCCTTATTTTTTAAGGAATTTTATTTTCATCTCACTCAGAAAATTGTCTTTTTTTTTTCTTTTGTATAAATTAAATATATTTAATTTCTTATTTTTAATCTTTCAAATTCAATATCACATTTTGTTTATTTATTTTAAATATATATAAAAAACAATCATGATTGTATTTCATGAATCAACTGAAGTTGATACAATTCTTAATTTGTTAAAACAATCCAAGACAAACTGAGAAACAATTGTAAAAATAATTCATAATTTAAGTTTAAATCCTGGGTTCACGGTCAACTTGACGATTTTCATAGAAATCCGTAAAGTTTTGAATAACGACAGTAAAACAATAGACCACATCTCGACGAGAACGTTTTAAAGTGACGAGTCAGTCAGTCAGTCAGTCCGTAGACCGTATCGAGGGAGTGTAGTAACTGAGGAAATGGTATGAGGATGAGGATGAAGAGGAGTAGTATGAGGAGAAAAGGGTCGTCGTATTATTACGCAAGTAAATTAATAGAGGCTCCGGACCTCTCCAAGTAAAGAGAAAGAGAGAAAGAGAGAGAGAGAGAGAGAGAGGAGGGGTGGATTGTACGATAAACAATGCCTACTCCAGAAGTTCCTTTTCCCTCTAACTTTCTCTCCCTTTAACCAATGGTATATTCTAGAGGAGAGTCGTCTACCCTGTTAGACCCATAGCAGGAGACGTTATAGATACCTGGTGAACGTGAAATAGTGGTAGTAGTAGTAGTAGTAATGGTGGTTGTGTCTCGAGTGTAGGAAAGCCGGTAGTATGCATTTATAGATGTGTGGGTTCGTTCGTGTGGACACGAGGGTTGCTAAGCAAAGCAAGTAAAGCACCTGTGGGAGCTGGTGCTGCTGCTGCTGCTTGGTAGTAACAGTAGAGGGTATGAAGGTGGGTGAGTAGAGAGACAGTAAGGAGGAAGAGGTGGTGGAAGAGAAGGAAGAGGAGATGGAGGTGGTAGAAGGTGGTGGAAGATGGGTGGGAGTAGTAGAAAGGGAGTATAGAACGAGAGAGAGTTACTGAGTGAGTGTGAAAGAGAAAGAGATAGATAGATAGAGAGAGTATGAGTGAGTGAGTGAGTGAGTGAGTGAGTGAGTGAGAGAGTCTGGTGAACGGGCGAGCCAACCCTGGGAGGAAGCCAATCAATAAACTCACTCGCTTGCTCTCCTACGGAGAGAGACCTACTGCTCTCCCTATGCTCGCGATCTGCCCGTATACTATATACCCAACCTGGAAGCCTCCATTATGTACGCCCACTCGGCTGCCTACAGCCATTTTGTAGCCGTTTCGTCGTGCACGTTTTCTCTCCTCTCCTCTCCATTCTTTTCTTTTCTTGTCTTTTCTTTTTCTTTATTTGTTGCTTACTTGCTTTATCATGTTCCTTATTCTATCCTTCTTTTCGTGAAACGTCCACATTATATTCCATTTCTCTTCCCAGATTTTGAAAGTTTCGAAGGATAAGAAGAATGGTTGTTTAAAAAAAAAAAAAAAAAAAAAAAAAAAACATGTACAAAGAGTTTTACCTTGAAAATGTGAATTCTTTCTTCTGTGACATTGTGAAATACAATTAACTTTTCATGGAATGATTATAGAATTTCCCTTGTTTTTTGTTTTCCGTATTATGGGGATAATAAATAATATTTTTGTCTTTTATTTATGGTGTTTCTTATTCTTCTTCTTTTTCTATTTCTTGTTCGTGTCTTTCGAAGGTCGTAAGAACTACTACTATTCCTTGTGGAATTTGAAAGTACGGAAGTGTGGAAACGAGGGCAGATCGTTTACACGCCAAGTGTTTCCAATTAAGATCCCTCTGGATGATCTTTTAGACCACGTCATTTTGTCAACGGCGTTAGGCACATGCGCTTCCAAAATAGTTGTCTCTCTTTCTTTATTTCTTTCTTTCTTTCTTTCTCTTTTTCTCTTTTTTTCTCTTTTTATTTTTCTACGCTTTACACTCGTTCACACTGTCACCATACTTTATTTCATTTGGTATGGGATCTTGTTTAGATTTTTATAGCGGAGTAGATATCTTGTTACGAAAATCTCCTTTCGGGTTTCTCCTTATACGTCAACAAATTTTTACTACTTTTATTATACAAATTCTTTTTGGTTTTATTCATTTGTTTTAAAGTTTAGGAAGTGATTTGAAGTTATGATTGTGTATGATTTTTGGATTCGTTCATTTTTATATCTCATTTCAGTAAAATATCAAATTGTTCAGTGTAGTATTTTAATTTACGAAATTATTTATGTAAATATATATTTAGTATTAAACAATTGTTTTATAAAAATTTGTGTATTATTTTTTAAGATTTATCAAATTTTATTCGAGATTGATTATAATATTTTCAAAGTGATACTGAATAATTTTAATGAAATTTTCGAAGGAAAATGTAATTTTGTATTGTCAAATTTGATAAATTAAAATAAAAAGAAAACTATTTTGGAAAAATGATAATACGTAAAAGATGAGAAACCTTGTTAATATTCTAAAAGTGATATGGGTTAGGATATTATGGAAGTTGGGTTTGACATATTATTGAAGTATTTTGAAGGATTATGACGTGTGAAATTGGAACGATCCTCTGGTAAACATCGAAATTAGTTAATCGTAGGAATCGTTTGTCGAAGAAAAAGAAGAAGAAGAAGAAGAAGATGAGGAAAATAAGGCAAGGTAGAAAAAAACAAAAGAGAAGAAGAAGAAAAAAAAAGAAGAAGAAGAAGAAGCTTTCAGGAGCTTTGGGTATCGCACTAACAAGCGACGCCCTCTTCTCGCCATCGATAATCCCACTTTCTTGCAAGATGAAGTGCGAGGGTTCTAGAATTGACAGCACCCTCGTAACTCTCCTCCGTGAGAAGAAGGAACAGGCTTTCTTCAGCGCATCACATTTTTCTCCACGGATTAACTCTACGGAATCTCGACGACGTGTCTCACGTGTGTGGTGCAGAGAATATCTTTGACTCTTCTCAAAAATCCTATCTTTCTTTTACAACACGGACCTTAAACTACACGGAATTAACTACTTTTTTTTTATCTCATTCGAATAATTATATATTTTCAAGTGAAAACTTCTTTAAAGTCAGGATGATTTGAAAATCGTGAAACGGAATAACGTGAAACCGATGAAACAAAAAGAATTAATTAATTAATAAAATTCAATATATAATTTAATTCTATTATATAATTAATTAATTAATTTTCGCTTTGAAGTTAAACCTAAGCCTTTCGAGTGAACATAAACAATTGAATTTGATAAATTTAACCTCTCATTGATCTCACGTGTTGTTATTTGTCAGTTTGCATAATCTAATGCTTTTATTGTGTCAAGAAAAAATGAAATTACTTTTTAAATAACCCAATACAATTCTTATACTAATTCCCTAATACTAATTCAACAAATTTCAAAAAGACATATAACAATTTCATTGATTGTACAAAAATGTTAAATAATATTACGAATAAATACAAATAGCCAAAAAAAAAGGTAGACATATCGTAAAAAAGAAAAAAAAATAATCATGGAAACAAATTTATACAAATGTTAAGGAAATAAAAACCCCCTCTCAATGGGAATTAATTTGAAGAATAATAATACCATGGAAAAAGGTATATATTGTTCAAAAGGAATATTACGGATTCACGATAACGATAAGCGTTCACAAGACCAAAGTAGGTACAGTATGAGAGATCGTGACTCTTGTTTTAATGGCGGCAAGCGAATGGTATCGAAAGGGGAATGAAAAGAGAAAGAGAGAGAAAGAGAGAATGAGAGAGAGAGGGAGAGAGAAACAAGAGGAGAGTAGATTCGAAGTGGTGGTTTAATCTAATGGAGCCGAGAGACCATGAAACTTGGTGATAAACTTACCCGTAGGCAGCCAGGGTCGGATCGTAAGGGTAGTAACCCGTGGCAGCAGGTTGAAGAGCAGCCGTACCCCATGCAGCACCCATATCCGCCGTCATCCCCATTCCCGTAGCGTCCTTCAAAGTGTATGGATTTCCCTGGAAGAAAAAAATGAGATAAACGAAATGATCAAAATGAAAGAAAAAAAGAGAAAGAAGAAGAAGATAAAAAGGAAGAAGAAATAAGAGAATCGTTTTCCATTGATTTTTTTTTTTTTTTTTACTACTCTCTTTCAACTCGGTTTATTTTATTTCCTTTTTTTTTTCTATTTTTTTCCCTTTGTCGTCACGTACATTTTTATACTCAGGGTGAAGAGTAGAGGGGAATTGAATTTTTCAGACACTTATCTTAATTATTTTATAAGAAAAAAATTGAGAAAATGTGAACGAAAAATTGACCGAGAATAAAAAAGAATATTCTGTTATTTTTGACAACGTATCCTTGGACGTTTATATTTTTACATCGTTGTACGTTGTTTAATAATTTCTATGATTAACTTGAAATAATCTCGTTCATTTGTTCGGTCCTATAATATTCTATCGCAGTTGGTAACATTGTTCCATATTTGTTTAAGCTTTAAAAAAAATATATTTAACCTTTCGCGAAGATCTTTATTTCTATCATAAAATTTGAGGTTATAGGTTATACTGGGTGTATTAGAATTATTATTGGTGTTTTATATTACTTTTGTTATATTATTTGCAAGTAGACTAAAAATTGTTGAAAATAATTGTTCAATATTTTTCTTTTATCAAGAAATATTACAAATATTAGCTGTAAAATTGCAAAAATTTGCATATTTCTGTAAAAACTCGCATTGTTTTCTCATACAATGATAGAATATTTCAGTAAAATATCGTTTTCAATTGAACAAGAAATGAATTAAGTTATGTAGGGGTGGGGGTGGGTGGGGGGGGAGGGGGTTCCAAAGGTTATATATTTCAGACACCCAGTATATTATATTTGATAGTAAATGCATAAGTGAAAGAGAATACGTGGAACAGATTCATACGAAGCATTCGAATGAAATATTACTTACGAATCCACGAAGGATATGACGTTCTCGGAATTGAAGAATGATCGATGTATCGTCTTAAATGTCGAGTTCACGCGAGCCATGATATTACGGAGTCGGTTAAATGCAGATCGGTCGATCGATCAATCGGTTCGAGCCATCAATCAATGGGATATGAATGTACGCGTGCTACCCGTACGGAAGTAACGCCTGTGGAATTTGAATTCGCGTATGATATGGGAGAAAAAAAATGAAAAAAAAAAGAAAAAAAATTTTTATACACACATATGTATGTATATATATATATATATATATGAAAGAAATGAAAAAATGATGGAACCAAAAAAATAAAAAAATAAAAAACTAACACGGGAGTTCAGAGGAACAAAAGTGACTTTTGCCATTGTGTGCGAACGTGAACAATATAGGGGTGAAAAAAAGAAAAAAATGAAGAAGAATCGTCTGATGCTCTTTCTCGTGGCATTTCCCATTTTTTTTTTTTTTTTATTCCTCTTTTTTTGCTTCATTTTTCAAATTTTTGTATAACCAGTTAAAGACACCTCGTTGGAAAATAATCGAGAAAACGATTACAAGGTGATAAGACGGAAACTGAATATGTGGTGAAGATGAAACTAAAGTTTGGAACACATGATCGTTTTCAAAAGTTTTAATTTAATGTTTTGTCATCAATTTTGTAGATTTTGAGGATAATTATTTTTAATATTTGTTAATAAATTGTTAGATTTGGTTATTTCTAGTTTAAATTATATGTCGTTGTTTTTAGAAATATGATTTTATATTTTATAGGTTAGAATATCATTTACGATTTTTATAGTACTTTTTATAATATAGTTTCAGTATTTTAAGTTGTATTTATTATGAAATATAGTAAATTAGTATAGCTTAGTAACTAGTTAATAAATATATATAGTTACTGTATCATTTTAACATTATAATTGTTTATTAAATATATTAATTTAGTATACTAAATATAATATAATAGTATAAACTAATTTGTTATATCAATAAATTTAGTATATACTTATTCAGTATATATATATATATATATATTATACTAATTAATTAATACATACAACTTGATTGTAATTTAACATAATATAATTAACTACAGTCTACATATATTAACTTCAAAAGAAAACAATTATAAATTTCAGATATGAAATGAATTCTATATTAAAATTAGTTTTAATTAAAAAAATCAGTAAAATAAATTTCAATGTTTCTTGTTTATAAATATTTTTACATACATTTATTACTGATTTAAGATTTAATAAGAGGATTAACATAAAAAAACCGTGAGATATCCTGTCCTCCTTTTATAATGTGTTTAGTAACATGCTTGGGTGTTAGGTAGCTAATGGTAGCACAATAGGATATTATTAGAACGGTGGCTTAGAGAGTTCTGGCGCCAGGGGGTTTCGTGTTACACCATCTCACTCAAATTCTTAATTCCTTTACTAGACTTACAACACCTACATCCTTCTTCGACCTATTTCAATTTTTGAACGATCACAAAATATCTTTCATTCTGTTCTTGCAACTTTAACAACAATGCACAAATTAAATTGCATTAACTTCTCAAATTAGTTATACTAATTATATTAATTAATTTATGTTGATAAAAAAATATTCGTAATGTTATTTAATTGTTTCTAATATAATATAGTTTAATAAACAAAAGTTTATTTTATTTTCAATAAATTAATTTAGAATTAAGTTACAATAAATATTTATAATGCAAATTATTATTCATTCATTTTTGAATTGTATAATCCCAAAACAAAACATCAGAGCCTAGTGATAATTGATGTCGACATTTTTAAGGTTATGTTGCTTAGATTAATGCGATTAAATGACATTAAAAGTGTTTAAAAAAAAAATCGTAGATGATTAAGATGATAATGAGATCATTGATATTTAAACAATGTTAAAACGCGTTTAAACAAAAACCTTATGAAACCTTAAACGGAATAAGCCAAATTCCAAATATTTCCAAGTTTCTTTGAAACTCGTGATCCCTTTTCCCGTTGGATGCGGCATTAAACCAGTGGTACCACTTTAAACATCATGGAATGTGCAGCAGCACCTCAACGATCTTGGTGTTCTTCTGTTTTTACAATCGATCGATCCACCATCCAATATTCGTCCACCTTTGCTTTTTCTTTCAACTTTCGTAAAAGAGAGAAGAAACCCTAACCTTCTTCACCAATTGAATTTTGTATTTATTTTTCTCTCTTTCTCTCTCTCTCTCTCTCTCTCATTTTCAAAGGTCCTCAACAAATGTTCCCAGTTTTAGTGTACGATACGATATATAACTTCTGTAAATGGTTATTGCATTGGAAATATCACTAAATCCTTCTACTCATCCACAATCCTTTTATACTTCTTTTATCATCAAAGATTTTTTTTTTATACCTTCCCTCTTTTTTTTTTCTCTTTTTATCGAAGACGAATCCAATCAATTTCAAAGTGGCATAAAGCAACCCAAACTTACTTTCAAACTCGTTGAAACAATACCGAGTGAAGTGCGGAAATTGTTCCTTTTTTCCTACACATCGATTCTCAAATGCGATCGTTACGACCCTTTTGTTGCTACGTTAATACGCACACATACACATGTAGGTATACGTGTACGTATATACATGTAGGGTGACGAACGATCGTCTTGAAATAACGAAGGGAGAATACACTGGGACGTCATTACCCTCAACGATAACGAGAATCGATGTTTTTCTCTTATTTCTGTCATTTTTCTATTTTTTCATTTGAGCTTCGTTATGAAAAGTGGAACAATTGTTCGTTCGACGTATTTTTCTGTGTAATATCGATGAACATTACATTTTTATTGATTAGTTTGCTAATCAGATAAATAAATTCACTTTGAGAATGTAACAATAAATGAAATGAAATGAAATTAATGAAAAATGTTACAATTTCAGTTTTTTTCTTTCATATTTTGTAATTTTGTATTTTTATAATTGTTTTGTTATTAATAATTATTATTTTTTTTTTTTTTAGATATCATAATTGATAATATTTCGATTTTGTTCAATTTTTTTCATGATTTATGTATATTGACATCAAAATTTATATTGCAGATTAGAATTAATTGATCATATTTGACAAGCAATAATATTTATAATATTAGGTAGCTTTTTAGTAATATTTATAGTAGTGAATAGCATTTATTTTAGTAATGTTTATACTATTAAATATTAATAATAATATTCATACTATAAAATAGTAATTTTTAATAGTACAATAATGGTATTTATATTATTAATATGGTAAGGTTATTTATATTATTAATTAGCTTTTTAGTAATATTTATAATAGTGAATAGCATTTATTGTAGTAATGTTTATACTATAAAATAGCAATTTAATAGTATTTATTACAGAAAAATTTGTAATAATTAATATCAATACAGTATTATATTATTCTAATAATTTTATAATAATAATAATAATAGATAGTGTCATACATTAGTATAAAATTATAAATATCAAAGATAGAAGAAAAAAAAATCGAATAAAATTTGATTTAACTAATCAAAAAAAAAAACAAAAACAATTATCCCAAAAATGAATATTAATAAATTAAATATAAAATTTGTTCAACTTAAACAAAATGATTTTTAAAAAGTATTAATTTATCATGATTTAATATAAAATTACCATTTTTGTTATAAATCAATCAATCAATCAATCAATTCGTTTGATAACATAAAAAAGGATTATTAAATGGAAAGATAAATAAATAAGAAAATCTCTTGAAGAAAGTGATGAACGTCATAGGAGAGACCTTTTAGTTTAGGCTTCTGTGAACCACCGTCCCAATAGATAATCAAATTAACGACGACAAAGAGTACGGGAAGAAGTATCGACAAAATGAAGCCATAGGGAGAGCGCACGGGGTATTTTCAAAGCAAGCTAGGGACTGATAGATAAACAGAGTGGGCAATTCTATCGCAAAAGAAATACACAGGGTCGACCAAAACTTTCTAAGTGGACCACAATACCCTTTTTATTTCTTGTTTTTACCTTATTCTCCAACAATTGC